AAGAGTTGCATCTGCAAGTGGAGAACCTTCAGTGGCCAAAAGCTTAGTATTGTACTCAAGTGGACTAGTGGCCATCTTGCTGTTTGTCAACCCAGCTTTGGAAAGTAAATCAGAGGCATATTTTGCTTGAGTAAGATAATAACCATCCTGATTTGAAGTAACTTCAAGGCCAATGAAGTAGTTAAGATGTCCCAAATCCTTTATCTCAAAATTCTAACTAAGAAAAGTTTGAAGATCTCGAATACCAGCAATATTATCACCAGTAATAATCATATCGTCTACATAGAGAAGAAGAAGAATAGTACCTACCCCAGTAGTGGGAAGAAAGAGTGCAAAATCTTATGGGCTAGAAAGAAAGCCTTGTTGAGAAACCACTGACTGAAATTTCTCAAACCAAGCTCGAGGAGCCTGTTTGAGCCCATAAAGTGCGCAACGAAGACGACAAACTTTATGTGGAGGATGCTCATAGCCAGGTAGAGGCTGCATGTAAACTTCTTCAGTAAGATCACCATTAAGAAAGGTGTTGTTAACATCCATTTTAAAAAGTTTCCAATGTCGGACAGCAACAACTGCAAGTAAAGATCTGACAAAGGTAAGTCTAGCAACAAGAGCAAAAGTCTCCTCATAATCAATCCCATACTCTTGGTGGGTGAACCCCTTAGTAACAAGTCGAGCCTTATAGCGTTCAACTGATCCATCTGCTCGAGTCTTGATTTTATAAATCCACTCACATCCCACTGCAGCTTTACCATGAGGCAAGTCCACCAGATCCCAAGTATGTGTTTTGACAAGAGCATTCAATTTATTAGACATAGCTTGCTTCCAAAGAGGGTCAGTACGAGCCTCACGATAATTGTGAGCTTCATGGAGGATGGCAAGGATAGCAAAACAGTGATAATCACGAAGATGAGTAGGAGGAACACTTACCCGACTGGAACGACGAGGTTCAGGGAGTGGAGAAGACTGAGGAATGGGTGGTGTGGTAGGTGGTTCATCAAACGCATCAACTGGATTGGGTGCAGCAGTGGAAGAACTGTCTGAGGAGCTCAGAATCTCTGTAAAAGAGTTAGAAAATAGCGCAATAGAGGGATCAGTGAATATGAGTTAGTGGTTAGAGGAGGAAGGGAAGAACGTGGATATGCTAGTGAATGGTTTGTGTTCCCAAAACTCTACATGACTATAGACTCAAAGATGTTTAGAGATAGGATCATAACAACAATAACATTTTTTAGTTAAGCCATAACCAAGAAAACAGCATAACCGAGAACGGGGTTCAAGTTTGTTCTATTCATGAGGAGGAAGAGTAACAAAACAAGCACAACCAAAGATACGAAGTAAGGAATAGTTAGGAACCATACCATAGAGAAGCTCATAAGGAGATTTGTTGTAAAGTATAGGTGAGGGTACCCAATTGATTGTGTACACAACAGTAAGAGCAGCTTCACCCCAAAACTTTTCAGATAAAGAAGCAGAAAGTAAAAAAGCTTTTATAGTATGAAGCATATGACAATGTTTTCATTCAGCATGACCATTTTGTTGAGAGGTATAGGGACAAGAACGATGATAGTGTGCCTTGTTGATTCAGGAACTCAAGGAGAGTTTTGTCGTTGTATTCCATAGCATTATCTGAACGAAAAACTTTAATGGTATGAGAAAATTGAGTTTGTACCATTTTATGAAAAGTTTGTTAAACACGAACAAGCTCAAATCGATGCTGTAACAAGTATAGCCATGTATAACGAGAATAGTCATCAACAAAGATAACAAAATAACGAGATCCCTCCTCAGTAGGAGTGGGTGCAAGACCCCAAATATCAGAGTGAATCAAATTAAAAGGTGCAGTAAAAAAAGAGTCACTTATATTAAAAGATAAATGGGTTTGTTTGCCAAGTTGATAGGAAACACAATCAAAAGACTCAAAACCTATAGAACCTAGGTGATCTTGGGAGGCCAAAAGACGATTACGAGGTATAGAGGCATGACCCAACCGAGAATGCCATAATTAGGAAGAGATGGCAGGAGCAACAATGGAGCGAGACAGATGGGATGAAAGCTACAAAGAAGCGAGCTCGAACAGACGTCCAATCTTAAGGCCTATCCCAATGAGTTGACCCGTCTGTGGATCCTGCACATCAACACGAGCATTAGAAAAGGTAAGCTGAAGACCTAATTCACAAAGTTGACCAACTGAAAGGAGATTTAAGGATAACTTGGGAACAAGATAAGTGTTGTCAACAGATAAGGTAGGGGATGAGATAGACCAAATTTGACTAACAGATAAAGGAGAACCATCAGCAATATATATGATAGGATTGGGTGACAAAGTAGATTTTTGTGAAAAAATGGTGGAATCAGAGGTTATGTGATTACAACATACAGAATCAAAAAACCAAGGAGATGTACTTGAAGTGACAGACAAAACACTAGAAGACCGGGATAAAACCTGATGAATTGATGCCTCAATGTCAATAGCAGTGAGAGTAGTGGACACTGAAGAAGGCTCAGCAGCAGACTCAAGAGTAGAAGGAGCAGTTGGAGCCACATCAGCAGCTTGCAACAAGGGGGCCCGAGACTGATTTTTGTTCTGCAATTTTTGACATTCCGTAACAGAGTGACCTAGACTTTGACAGTATTTGCAGAAGACAGATTTTGAGGACTGAGAAGGGAAACAGCCTGAGGCTGGAGAAGATCCAAAGGTAGTCTAAGGGATGGCATCAACAACTGAATCTGGAGTTTGCATCTTCATGGTTGAATGACGGTTTTCTTTGGAAATAAGTTCAGCAACTGCAATCTCAAGAGTGGGAAGAGGTGTTTGATGCAAAAGAGAGACCCGAGTAGATTCAAAATCCTCACAAAGTGCCATCATAAAATGCATAAACTTACGACGATCATGGTAGGTTGCAAACAACGCAATGTCATCAAAACATTTGAGGTGAGGATCTGCAGCAGACAACTGTTCCCAAAGATTATCAACTTGAGAATAGAAACCAACAATGGACTGACCTGATTCCTGACGCATCTGATAAAGCTTAGTCTCAAGCTGGAACTGCAACGAAGCATCATAAGTGCAGTTGTATCGTTTAGCAAGAAAATCCCAAGTAGCTTGAGCATTACCAAGCTTGGGAAGCAAGCTATGGATGGATGGAACAGAAGTATTGATAAACCAAGACAATATTTTATAATGAATACTATGCCAATCTTCAAGCCGACGTGCAAACTTATCAAGACTCTCACCATCTTGTTGCTTGGGGGCAAGAATATCACCAAAAACATAATGCCACAATTTTCGTCCTCTAAGAAATACTTCCATATTTTGAGCCCAGATATTATAATTTGAGCAATCTAAAGTGTTATCAATAGGACGAACAATGGTATCAAGGTTGGGAAAGGAGTGAGACATACTTTTTTTTTTTTTTTTGGTGGTCAACGATCAACAAGTCAGCGGGTGGACCTAGGTTGGACTTTGAACCAAATGGGCTGATTTATAGAAGAAAGAGAAATGAGTTGGGAAGGCTTGCTTGGATTAGGCTTGAAGTTGGCTGTAATAGGCTTGATATTTATGCTGGAGATGTGTGACGCGTGGTCAGACGTGTAGAATATTCAGGAGGCACATGAGGGTGCGTGCGAAAGCGTATCGGGAAAATCTTGACACAGAAACACCTTTAAAATTCTCAAGACTCCGTTTATGATCAGATTTGATTAAAAAAAAAAAAAAAGGAGCAAAAGTTGGATGTAAAACCACAAAAATCCCACTGTCAGTGTAGGGAAAGCCAAGGTTGGTGCGGAAGGAAACGTCAATGAAACGACTTGCATGGACAGGAAGATCAGAGTAGTGGCTCTGATACCATATTGAAATAAACAGAGTTTTGAGGAATCATATGATTGTATATTTTTGTGAATCATATGATTGTATATGTCTGTGTATTATAAACTATACAAAGGAGGCCTCTATATATAGTGGAGAAGGCCAAAGTTAATAAGGAAATACACTATATGAAAAGATTCTAACCTAACATAATTACAGGAATAATCATATATTTCTAGAGATATTATAAGATATTAATATATATACCAACACTTGCGAGCCCCCGACGGCCATGGCCAGCTGAAAATACTGGTCCTTTGTTTTTCCTTCCTCCATTGGTAATTATTTGTGTATATATATAGTACATTGTTTACAATAATATAAATTTGAATTTTCGTATATGTAACCATGCAGAAGATTTTTTAGCTAAATAATAAAATTGCACTTGGAACACTTCAGGTCATTACTCTTTTCTCTCCACTTAACTTAATTGTTACCTGCATTTGAACTGACCGTTTATACACTGACAAAGCACAACCATAATTCTTCCCAAACTTGAATTAATACATATTTTTAACCAACTCTGTTTCTCGGGCAGAGTGAGTTTATCTCCAAACCCCTATGACACGTTTTTGCCATAGAAGACTAGTGAACTTGCAGATGTTAACTCATGTGCATAGTAATCTAATTAGAGATTTTGATTTGGGTGATTGATATGCAGATGTTTGCATTGCTTTTGAGGCCAAAGCCTGAACCCAATACAGACTATACTGGAACATCTACCATCACTGTGTTGGGTACACAGTGATTATTTTGAGCATCTATAACATCTTTGAGGGTCTTGACATCTTGGACCCAGCCAAGAAGTGGAAGAAGATATATATGGGTATCCTGATATTCTTGGGTGCAGTTGCTGTGATATTGGAAGCCATAACTTGGGTAATAGTTATGAGGAGGAAACAGAAGAATTCAGATAAGAACCATCACAGCATGAATGGAACAAATGGAGTGAATGGCCATGGACCTCAGCATGGTGCCTATACACGACAGGAGGTGTAGTTTTTATGTATAGCAAAATCAGTACTATCCATAATTAAACGTGTAACTAGACCAAGAGTTATTGACTTGAGCAAAAGATAAAAAGTTGAGTACAGGGATCAATGGTAATGGCATGGTGGTTGTGTGATCGACTATATATAAATGCTGTGTTTCCTCTTCTCCTAACCCATTAAACTCTCTCTTAATCTCTTCTTTTTCTTCCACTTTCCACCATTTTCATTTCTTAAACTTATTTTTATCATCAGATCTCTCTATCTATCTCACAGGTATATACATATACATGTATATCATCACATGTATCTGCTATTCTCTTCTAATTAACCTCTCTTCACTCTCTCTATTTCGTTTTAGAAATACTCTGAAAGGGTACTCTATAGCTGCATGTAAATTAATATAATCGCCAATTTAACATTGAACTTGATTGTTATTGCATGCAAAAGAGGAGAAGCATATCATCATCATGTGGAAGCTGAAGATTGCAGAAGGTGGCAATGATCCATACATTTACAGCACAAACAACTTTGTGGGAAGGCAAACATGGGAGTTTGATCCTGAAGCAGGGACTCCCGAGCAGCGAGCTGAGGTTGAAGCTGCTCGTCAAAATTTCTACAACAATCGGTTTCAGGTCAAGCCCAGTGGTGATCTTCTCTGGCGAAAGCAGGTACTGGTACCAACCATGTCTATTTATATAAGTACATGTGTCTCTTTTAATGTCTCTTTTCCAACACACAATTCATCTCCATTTTCAGATAAGTCCAACTTGAATTACGTGGAGCACTAATTTTAATGCAAAATTAATGAAAGTTCAGATATTCTCAGTGCATTGATAACTGTGAGGACGGCTGATGGATCTCTTCTATTAACCATAATTAGCTTATACTTATAGAATGTTTCTTCATTAGAGTATAGTTTAATTAGGTAGTTAAATATATTTTTGTCACCTGATCAACTTAATTAAATTATTTTCCATAATTAACCTGGTGAAAACACCAAATAGATTATATTAGTATCACTTTTTTCTTAGGATAATCTCCAGTCGTAGATTTTAAGGTTTGTGTTGTGCGTTGCAGCCACTTGCCTGGCTGGTGAAACTGAAATTATGTTCCTAATATTATATTACTAATCTTATGTAATTATGTTAAAGCTTAAATAAGATAAGGTTTTAAATATGAAAAAGATACGGAGTTTGGTGGCAGAAATTTCATGGAAGTGGGGTGTCCGAATATTTTGTCATTTTCAGAAAAGCTAAAAGATCAATAACTTGTTAAGTTAAAAGACGGAAGAATTAAAGCTTGACCTACTTGACAAGGACTTAAAGATTAATGAATTTGGATAGATGATTATCTCCACGTTCTTCTTACTTTACTTTTTAGCTAATTGAATTCATGTGTTTCTCACTCATACTATTTACATATACAAATACAAATACAAGTCAACCTATATCTCATTCACATTAATTTTATTTCCCCAATATTGTTGCTCCATTCTTCCTACATCACATTCACAAACACCTCCATTTTCAAATGTCAATCAACCAATCATGTTAATACAGTATATAAAATTAATTTATTAATGAAGAAGAATAACTGTAGATTAATTGAATGAATAATTAATTTTCTTCACTCACTAATGTTGTTTGTCAAAAAAAAAAAAAAAAATTAGTTTCTTGGAGAGAAAAATTTCAAGCAAACAATCCCAGCGGTAAAGGTGGAGGATGGAGAAGAAATAACGTATGAAACAGCTACAGCCTCGTTGAGGAGGGCGGTCCATTTCTTCTCAGCCTTGCAAGCCTCCGACGGCCATTGGCCAGCTGAAAATGCTGGTCCTTTGTTTTTCCTTCCTCCATTGGTAATTATTTGTGTATAAATTTGAATTTTCGTATATGTAACCATGCAGAAGATTTTCTAGCTAAATAATAAAATTGCATATATACAGGTGATGTGCACCTACATTACAGGGCATTTGGATACTGTATTTCCAGCAGAGTATAAGAAGGAAATCCTTCGATACATATACTATCATCAGAATGAAGATGGTGGGTGGGGATTACATATTGAAGGTCACAGCACTATGTTTTGTACAGCTCTCAGCTACATTTGCATGCGTATCCTTGGAGAAGGTCCTGATGGTGGTCTAGATAATGCTTGTGCTAGAGCTCGAAAATGGATTCTTGACCGTGGTGGTGTCATTCACATTCCTTCTTGGGGAAAAACTTGGCTTTCGGTACCTATCACTCTATATATTAACTTAGTTAATGTGTCATCAATGCATACATATATCTTTTGTTTTAAGCATTAATTTTTCCTTTATTTGTTGTAGATACTTGGTGTTTTCGAGTGGTCTGGAAGCAACCCAATGCCTCCAGAATTTTGGATTCTTCCTTCATTCCTTCCAATGCATCCAGGTTAGTTTGCACAATTTTGGATTCACATTTTAAAATTAATTAACAATTTATTTATATATATAACTTTGATTCTTCAAAAATGCAGCCAAAATGTGGTGTTACTGCCGCCTGGTGTACATGCCAATGTCATATTTATATGGCAAGAAATTTGTTGGCCCGATTACACTTCTCATTCTAAAATTAAGGGAAGAGCTCTACATTCAACCTTACAATCAAGTTAATTGGAGGAAAGTACGCCATTTGTGTGCCAAGGTGAGACTATAATTATAAACAATTACACATACATATATGCTTGCTTAATTATAAATATTTATAAAAAGAATATTAATATACAATTGAAAATTGTTGTAATTGCAGGAGGATCTTTACTATCCCCATCCTTTGATGCAGATTTGATTTGGGACAGTCTATATATATTCAAGAGCCTTTCTTACACGTTGGCCTTTCAACAAGTTGGAAGAGAGAAAGCATTCAAGTAACAATGAAGCACATCATTATGAAGATGAGATAGTCGATACATCACCATTGGATGTGTAGAAAAGGTATGCGATTTATTTAATATGCAATGCATCAAATTTTTATTCTGTACATCCACATTTCTAATTCTCTTCATTGAATTATATATTACACAGGTGTTATGCATGTTAGCTTGTTGGGTGGAAGATCCAAATGGGGATTATTTCAAGAAGCATCTTGCTAGGATACCAGATTATTGTGGGTTGCTGAAGATGGAATGAAGATGCAGGTAATTAATTTATACTATCATCACATTCAATTATTCTAGCTTTGATTTGTATAAATGCCCTGCACGCCATTGTTAACATGCAGAGTTTTGGAAGCCAGGAGTGGGATGCTGGTTTTGCTATTCAAGCTTTGCTTGCTAGCAATCTCACTGACGAAATAGGACCTGTACTCAAGAGAGGACACGAATTTATCAAGGCATCTCATGTATAATCATTTAACATTTAATAAACCAAACATTATTCCATTGAAAGTTCCTTGGAGCTAAAATTGTATATGTTACTTGTAAATTAAGGTGAAGGACAATCCTTCTGGGGACTTCAAGGGAATGCATCGACATGTTTCGAAGGGATCCTGGATTCTCTGACAGGATCATGGATGGCAAGTTTCTGATTGTACTGCTGAAGGTTTAAAGGTATTTATAAATTAATTTTAAATTTCTTTATCAAACAAGTTAAAATTATTTTTTACGTCTGTATTCACCATAAATACTGTCCCTTTCTTTTATTTTTAGTGTTGCCTGCTTTTCTCCATGATGCCACCAGAAATCGTTGGTGAGAAAATAGAACCTGAGAGGTTATATGATTCTGTAATATCCTGATATCATTGCAGGTACGCATTATCAATAAGTTTTAAAAAATATTTTTCATACATATTTTACAAGATTCTGTTTCCGTATTTAATATATCAATAAAAAGGTCAATTGTTTGGCTCTCTGCAGAGCAAAAGGAGGTCTAGCCGCCTGGGAGCCAGCTGGAGCCCAAGAATGGTTGGAAGTAAGTTGTTGAACCTACATGATGATTTAAGTATTCAACTCAATCATTTGAATTTCCTCTCAATCATGTATCACAATTAATAGAATGAATGGCACTGGCTATTATGTATTTATGTTCAGCTACTGAATCCCACAGAATTTTTTGCGGAAATAGTGATTGAGCATGAATATGTTGAGTGCACGTCATCGGCTATCCATGCTTTAGTTTTGTTTAAGAAGTCATATCCAGGACATAGAAAAAAAGAGATTGAAAATTTCATCACAAATGCAGTTGGCTACTTGGAAAACGTCCAACTGCCTGATGGTTCATGGTATTATTAATATTGTTAATTATATATCAATCGCAAGTAGTATATATGCATAGATTACATATGCATGATATTCATATTTTCCAATAATATATTTTTATCTATAGGTATGGAAATTGGGGAGTTTGCTTCACATATGGTACATGGTTTGCGCTTGGAGGACTAGCAGCATCTGGCAAGACTTACAACAATTCTGCAGCTATGCGTAGAGGGGTTGATTTTCTTCTTAAATCACAGAGAGACGATGGTGGTTGGGGAGAGAGTTATCGTTCTTGCCCAGAAAAGGTTACACTTTTTAAACTTAATTATGTATTTGTATTTAATTTCTTAAACGCATTATAATTCCAACTACCAATGAACTAATCATGTGTATCCATTCTTCTCGGTGATTTAGAAATATATACCTCTTGAAGGAAACAGATCAAATTTAGTTCATACTGCATGGGCTATGATGGGTTTAATTCACAGTGGACAGGTAAGTTTCGACAAACCACGAAATTAATTAATATCTGTATTTATAAATGACGCGATACATTTTATTAACTTATTTCTCATGTGCTTGTTCTTTGGATTTTTATATAGGCGGAAAGAGATCCAACTCCTATTCACCGTGCAGCTAAGTTGATAATCAATTCTCAACTAGAAGATGGTGATTTTCCCCAACAGGTACACTTTTAAAACACTTGTATGTTAAAACAAGTACTTAAAGGAAATGAAAAAATATTGCTCACTTATAATAATTTAAATTATACAATTGTAGGAAATTACAGGAGTATTCATGAAGAACTGCATGTTACATTACGCAGCCTATAGGAACATTTACCCACTGTGGGCTCTTGCCGAATACAGAAGGAGGGTTCTGTTGCCTTCCAAGACTACTGTTTGAGAAATCCAATACAGAAGCAAGTTCATTATCAATAATTGATTTACAAAGTCATAAAATCTTTATACCTTTCTTTTTTTTTTTTTTTTTTTTTTTTTTAATGTAATGGGTGTGGTTTATCTGTAATTGTTTGATGTAATGTTGTTCCAGTCCCCAACACCTAAATTATATAGATGGGGCAGAGAACATTTTCATATTTGGCACTCCTATATTGGACATCTGATCCACCATTGTAAACTTTAATTATCCTTTTCAATATATTAAAACATGTGATCTTTTGTTTCCTATATGCTTTCATTAATTACTAACTACATCATTGTTTTCATTTAGATAAAAAAAATCAAATAAGAAGAACATTCTAATACGGAGATGCATGTGATATATGTAATAGAAAATTATTTGACATCTTTTTTTCTTTTTTCTTTTTTCAGGTGATTTTAATCCTATGGTATACGCAACTTGCAAATTAAGATTTCTGTACACAATTCTGTAACAAATGGGCATTATTCAAAGTATTCAATAATTAATGAAGTTTGCAAATAGCATGCAAGATATTGATATTCAATGGTGAATCCAAGATTTTAGCCAAAGGAGAGCCTTCAAGGCTCTACCATTATTTTCCAAATAACTAGTAAAAACTTTAAAAAATTACCTAACCTTAAGTAAAATAAATAATACAAAAACAAAGAACTTAAAAGGCAAGACTGCAGTAACACAATACTTTCTTACTTGAATAAATCTATGAGAGGCAAAATAAAGGTAATAACTTAAATTTCTTTAATAATTTGAACAGTTAAACAGTGACATTTGAAATGTAAGAAAATGGTGAGTGAAGGGTGAATAATATCGTCTAATAAAATATAGTTAAATTTTAGTTTGGGAAAGCAAGAACATTCTTAGACACAAAACACAAAACAAACTCACAAGACTCATGCATTTTTCCACTAAATTAGAATAAAAAACTTTAAAAAAATAGAAAATGAAGTTAATTGTGGCACCTTGAGTAGTGAAAGCTTCAACAATTTCAGTTTTCAAAAGTTTTAAGAACGAATAGCATAAGAAAGAGAATAAGAGAATGAGAGAGTAAATAATTCTGGGATAAAATCATAAAAAGCAAGTGAAACCGCAAAAGAGAGTGGAGAGGGTTTTAAAATTTTAAAATGATGTGGGCATGTAATATATATATTAATAGTAAGTTTTTTGTAGACTTTGATATATGTGTAATAGTCCTCATTTTTTTTAAATCTGAGGATAGATTTGGGTAGATATATTTATAGTAATGTTTTTTGTGAGCCTACATATTAGCAATTTTTTTTTTTCTTTTTATTTGAGGGTAGGCCCAAGAGGGGCTGGGTCCGCTCCTATTGATATTTGATACTATATTTAATTAAAGAAGCACATTTTTCTTATTTTTTTTTCTAAATTGGACAACCCATATTTAGATTACAAACAATGTTTTATTGTTGTATAATTTGCAAGGACGCATGTAAGTTATTGAAAATTTTTCGACCATATTTTTACACTTGACACATACATTTTAATTTCTTCACACTATATTCTTACCGAAAATAAGTATATATTTGATTATTAAACTTTATTTGGGGTATATATGTTTAAGTAAATGCTGTATACTAAACCATTCAATTCTTTCTTCCCTTCTTCTTCCTCTTTAATTATTCCAATTTCCGCCATTTTCATTTCTCAAAATTTTCAACTCCAAAACTTAATTAATATTATCATCTCATCATCAACTCTCTACATATATCTTATAGGTATTACGTTCATATATATATTCTCTAATTAAGTTACTTCTCTTCTGATCTCTAGAGATCAGCTGAAAGAGCACAAGAGTTAATTAAGAAGCATATATATATAGATAATGTGGAAGCTGAAGATTGCAGAGGGTGGCAATGATCCATATCTTTACAGCACAAACAACTTTGTGGGAAGGCAAACATGGGAGTTTGATCCTGAAGCAGGGACTCGCGAGGAGCGAGCTGAGGTTGAAGCTGCTCGTCAAAATTTCTACAAAAACCGGCTTCAGGTCAAGCCCAGTGCCGATCTTCTCTGGCGGATGCAGGTTGGTAATGGTACCCACCATTTTATTTCTATATATATAAGTACCGTGTGTCTCTTTTAATCCTTCTTTTACTTCACACAATTTATCTCTATTTTAAGCAAAGTCCCAACTTATTGAATTACTTGCAATACTACTAAAATTGAATGCCAAATTAATTAAATGTTGTTAGAAATTGGAGTAAAAAAAAATAAAATAAAGAACAACAACATGTGAAGATTATTATACACACATAAACATGATATTGACATAGTTCAGTATAACTTATCTATATCCACAGATAAAAAAAATCTACTATAAATTTATGAACATGATATAAGAGTGTATAACACCATCAACCTATAAGGCGAGAAACCCCTTACATAGGCGAACATTCTATTCCTATGGTGTTTAATACCCCTTCTCCCATTTCTCTTTATTCCTTCTTTCACATAATTTCTCTCATAGATTCTCTCATAATAATGAATTAGTTCTAACCCTTATATTTATAAGTGACATTCTTTTTCTACTAGAATTCATATTTCAAATCATAATAAGACTCCCCTTATTTAATTCATTCTCTCATTTTAACTTAAAATAAAATCATAAATCAATTCTTCTTTCCTAATACAATTCAAAGTAAAGGAAAACAAATATTCTCTAATACATACTTGTAAAATAGAAATTTGCCTAAAACTAATGGTCCGTTTGGTTCATTATTCTGATACATTTTAGAATAATATTTTGAAAAAAGTTAAATTGGGCGGGTATTACGATGTAGGATTTAAAAATTAACAAAATACCCCTTACGTTTATTTATTTACTAAACACCCCTATAATAAAATATTAAAGGTTAACAAAAACACCTCTAACCCACCCATTAAATACGGACAGCCGGCCACCACCGTCGGAGGGTTGCTGGGGTGTTTTTGCAATTTCTAAAAAAAAAATATTTAGGGTTGTTTAGTTAAATTAACAAATTTAGGGGGGTTTAAAAGAAATTGAATAATATAGAATAATATTTTGAGAATAAGTCAATTTTACTATTTAACTTTATTGAAAATACTAATAATAGTATTCCCAAGAGTGTAATAAACGGAGCCTAAAATTCTCTTAAAAAAATTCATCAACTACCAAAAAAGTGTTCATATTCCAACAAATATCGTTAGATATTCTCAATGCATTCAATGATCCTATAATTGGGAGGGATGGCCAGTGAAATTATATTATTCTATCAATTAGCTTCGAGTTATTGAATGTTTCTCTTTAGAATAATCGGCTTTATATGATAGTTTAATTAGTTAAACATTTATTAATTCCCCTAGGCAATCTGGAAAGTTATTTAAATGGTGTTTCTAAATGTTGTCCATTGAAATATATCATCTTTTCTTTCTCTTCCTTTTTGTAATATAAATATCTCTCAGTTACTAAATGTTGTATGTTTTTACAATTGTGTGGACAATTTAAGTTTCTTAGAGAGAAAAATTTCAAACAAACAATCCCAGCAGTAAAGGTGGAAGATGGAGAAGAAATAACATATGAAACAGCTACGACGTCGTTGAAGAGAGCGGTCCATTTCTTTTCAGCCTTGCAAGCCTCGGACGGCCATTGGCCTGCTGAAAATACTGGTCCTTTATATTTCCTTCAACCATTGGTGATGTGCACTTACATTACAGGGCATTTGAACAATGTATTCCCAGCAGAACATCGGAAGGAGATCCTCCGGTATACATACTATCATCAGAATGAAGATGGAGGGTGGGGATTCCATATTGAAGGACATAGCATCATGTTTTGTACAGTGCTTAGCTACATATGCATGCGTATACTTGGAGAAGGACCTGATGGTGGTGAAGATAATGCTTGCGCTAGAGCGAGAAAATGGATTCTTGACAGTGGTGGTGCAACTCACGTTCCTTCCTGGGGAAAGACTTGGCTTTCGGTACTTATGACTCTGTCCATTCATTTTATATATATCTCTTACCATATGTAACAATTTCTCTCACTAATTCAGGCTTGGCAAAAAATGGAAAACAAATTGAAGATTAATATTACACATACAAAGTGAACGTAATGAATTGGTCAATTAATATAAAAATTAATTTTAATAAATTAAGATGAATATTTTATCAATAGGAGAACAATATCACATAACTTTGTATGTAATCTTTATATGCCTAGTATTATTTAAAGATCTGTGGATGTCTCTTTCTTTTTTATTATGGCAACAAAAATAGCCTCTCACCTCTACTCTTATGATCGAATGACAAACCTTTTAGTCACTAGAGTTAATTATACTCAGAGAGTCTTGTGTTTAAGTCACATGAGAGGTACCTACCACATTTACGCAATTACTTTAGTCCATAAGGCTTGTAGAGTATTCCGTGACCTTAAAGATTAGATAAACTCTAATATGGGTCTGGATACTTTAATTAAAAAAAATTAAAAAAATCTCCCACTCTTTATTCGGAATTCATTTGTAAGTAGGTGGGTTTTATCAGGAAAATAAAAGGCCTCCCCTGCACCGGAAAACTAGCACAATAGGGTGTGGTCTTGGGCTTTTAAAATTTAAATTTAATAGTGATATGTAAATTCATTAAGGATTAATTTAATTTAAAATGGTGACATAATTTTATAATCTGTACATTAATTTTTTTTTTCTTTGTTTGTGGTAGATATTTGGTGTATATGAGTGGTCTGGAAGCAACCCAATGCCTCCAGAATTTTGGATCCTGCCATCCTTTTTCCCAATGCATCCAGGTAAGTTTGCCTAATTAATCCTCTTCCTTGATAGTCGAACCATGGCAGGGCAGTCCTATATAAGCACTTCGGTTCGCAATATTAATTAATTTTATTTATTGAATACATAGCTTTGATTTATAATTAATTCTTCACAAATGGCGCAGCCAAAATTTTGTGTTATTGCCGTATGGTGTACATGCCAATGTCGTATTTATATGGCAAGAAATTTGTTGCCCCTATTACACCTCTCACTCTACAGTTAAGAGAAGAGCTCTACTGTCAA